ACCTTCAGGATTCCATGTGAGGGCTTGCCTTGTGACGCAGTTCGGTGCTTTCCTCATTGTGTGTCCTATCCACTTCCAGCGCTTATTCCTGATTTCTTCCTCCACTGGGATCTGGTTTGTTCTCTCCCACAGTACGTTGTTGCTAGTAGTGTCCGGCCAACGGATCCGAAGTAATTTGCACAGACAACTGTTAATAAATACCTGTAACTTCTAGATGATGGCTTTCGTAGTTCTCCAGGTTTCCGCTCCATACAGTAGAACTGTCTTGATATTTGTATTGAAAATCCTGACCTTGGTGTTGGTTGACAGTTGTTTTGAGTTCCAGATGTTCTTCAGTTGTAAATATACTGCTCTCGCTTTACCGATCCGCGCTTTCACACCTGCATCATATCCACTATGTTCATCAATGATGCTGCCCAAATATGTAAAGGTTTTTACATGTTCAAAATCTTCTCCGTCAATTGTGATTGGATTGGTGCATGCTGTGTTGTATCAGAGAATCTTGCTTTTCCCTTTGTATGATAACAAGATACGAGTATGAATTTATTTTATTGACCTAAATAACAGAAATTACTCAAAACAAATGACCTTTAAATGAAACTTAAGGTAGTTACAGTTATTTTGGTTTAATGGAACTATTAATTAGATGAGGTAACTAATAAGGATTTTCCTTCAAAAAAATAAAAATGACTACTGAAAGAATATTTCCCAATTAATATCTATAGATAAATTGATCGAGATTTTTCAAAGGTTACGTCATAGGTTATCCAACTAAGTTGTTGATGCTTCATCAACCTACGGGATGTTTTTCATAGGTTGTTTTGAATACAATGTTGCTAGACAATATTTTAATGAAATCCATAAAAGGTAAATCTTATTACTAAAGACTATATTGAGCTTAAATAGTCGGATCTATTAATGTCATGTATATGGCATGCTTAAACATCTACTTAACGAAACGTTGAAGCCTTTCAAATTCCCACATCCTCGGACATTAAGATGGTAATCAACAAATATATCTATTTCCCCAGGTACCAAACTTATACTGTCATCATTTCCCACTCATTTGATGGCCGAGCTCAAAAACAGTTTAATTTCATTTTATTTCAGGATTAAGCAACTTTGCTTCAATCAGTCTGTTAAGAAAACAGTCTTACTTGTCACTGTAAAAGATGGATTTCAAAAACTAAGATATAACCGTGTTCTAAATGGGCTCCCTGAAGGAAGCGACACTTCTGCACACACTGGTTTTCTATGGTATGTTTTATATACAGAGGGAGTGTCCGATAGTAGCTTGGTGATGACTGTGCTAAATTTTGTTAATAGATAAAGGAAATGATGTGATATGTAGAGCAATCATCGTTATCCAGTCTACCACTAATGAATTTATACTGATTAGAGATGATCCCGTTCTTCACTTGGTTGTCCGAGATGTGTACACACGTCCCAAGCTAGAACACTGATATGGTTGAGGTTATTGACTGTGGAGTTACACATCATTACCTGCACATCTGAATTTCAGTCAGTTGAAACATAGCCAGTGACAAAAAGATCTAATGTCTCATATGAGTTATTTATTAATTTGATTAAATCATCAATATGATCTAAAATACGGGTTTGCTAGATGCAGAAAATAATAACAAGGAGATTTCGCAAAGTCCTAACCAGATAGGTCTGTTGGTTTAACAGAGCCAAGGTCTAAACGCTGAAAAAGAAATGTCCTTTCCAAACAGTTGCATAACCGGGCCAATACAGACAAATAAAAACTCTAAAAATAGATTACTGTCTAAATCCGATAAAAATTGTAACAGCGGAGAATGACAGAATCAAAAAAGCAGAAATTCACGGTGAATAAAGACTATGAAATCACTGAGCAGGACATAAATACATGCAAATTTATTATATTTAAAATTTGCAGAATAATAAACGAACCCTTTCGAAATATTCTGAGGATATTTGTAACTGAATATCTAAAATTTACATACATCCAGTACCGTAAACGCCCACGTCCCACAGTCACAGAAGTGAACAGTAAATTTCTGAAAGGTGTATACATCATTCGATAAGTATGAGAATAAGTCTCAGAAGCCGTAGGTTGAGTTGGAAAGTGATATGCCTTTTGTATGCGTAACTCAGCCTGTAGCTCTTCTACAATTACTGCAGGTCCTAAGCCCAAGTAAAGAAGGAGGGTTGAACATGGGGTCAACAACTTTATCCCGTAGAAGACAACCTTGGTCAAAAAACGCTAACCAGAATAAACAAATTAAACCATTCAAACTCTTCCCTCTGAGTTCAAGTAAGGATTATGACGCCTCATGATGAAAGCTGATATTATTCGAAGTCACTAGGTTGATGTCCCTTCTAACAACTAGAGCAAGAATTAATACAGGTACATGGAATGTTCGGACAATGTATGAGACCGGGAGGACTAGTCAAATAGCTACAGAATCAGTGAGACTCATTGAACCCAAGCTAGACAGAAAATGACAGATTCGGGAGAGATGTCACTGTACTCTGGTCAAGAAAGGGAAAATGTTTAACACACTCAGGGAGTTGCTCTGATGCCGTCCAAAGAAGCACGTATAGCACTTATAGGATGGGAATCCCATAGATCGAAAATCACAATAGGATCCTTCAAAACAAAGGAGGGAATCATAATGTATGTTATCCAATGTCATGCACCCACAAATGATAACAACGACGACAATAAAGATCATTTGAATGAGAGGCTTCAATCTATCATAGCGAAGTGCTCAGGAAAGGACCTGACTATCCTGATAGATCTGAACGCCGAAGTTGGAATGGATAATACCGCGTATAAACATATCATGGGACGACATGGACTGACTGGGATATTGGAATGAGAATGGGGAGATATTTGCAATTTTATGTTCATTCAACAAAATGATTTTCGGTGGCACGATATTCCCCCATAAACACATACACAAAGCTACATGGGTCTCACTGGATCACAATATAGATAGTCAGATCGATCATATTTGTAGGTCAGAAGGTTAATGGAAAATGTGAGAACCAGGAAGGGGGCTGATATAGCTTCGGATCACCATCTGGTGATTAGCAAGATGAAAATGAGGCTCAAGAAGCATTGGACAACTGGATAAATAGCATTACAAGAGTTCAATACAGCCTTCTATCATGACAATGACAAACTTAACGAATTCAAGATAACTCCCGACAACAGGTTCTAAGCCTTACAAGATCTCACAGAAGAGGAAACTACTATGGAGGATAATTGGAAAGGGATCAAAGAAGCATTAACTTCAACGTGTCAGGAGGTTCTGGGCCGCAAGAAGCATCATAAGGAATGGATCTCCATCGAAACCCTAGACAAGATTCAAGAAAACAGCAATTAACAACAGCCGAACAAGAACAGAGAAAGCCAAAGCACAAGCCGAATACACAGACGCGAACAAACAAGTAAAGAGCATTAGAGCTGACAAGCAGAAATACGTGGAAGAGCTAGAGACTGCAGCGGAAAAAGCTGCAAGAGAAGGAAATATGAATCAACTATATGACATGACAAAGAAACTGGTAGGGAAATATAGTAAACCAAAGAGACCGGCCGAGGATAAAGAAGGCAATCCAACCACTGAAAGTGAAGAACAGAGCAACACATGGGTGGAATACTTCGAGGAATTCTTAAGTCAGCTCCATTCAATCCATCGGACACCGAAGCAGAACGCATAGACATTCCTATAGCTGTCACTACCAACGATCGAAGAAATCGGCATGGCCATCAGACGAATCAAGAGTGGAAAAGCAGCAAGATCTGACAATATACGAACCGAAGCACTGAAATCAGACACTGAGGTAACCGGAAAGATGTTCTACACATTCTTTAAAGACATGTGAGAGGAAAAACAAGTGCCGACAGATTGGGAAGAATGATATCTCATCAATATACCAAGGAAGAGAGATCTGAGCAATTGTGAGAACTAACTACAGAGGCATCATACCATTGGTATCAGGAAGAGTTTTCAACAGAGTATTGCTGAGCCGTGTGAAGGATTCAGTAGATGTCCAGCTTCGAGATCAACAGAGTGAATTCCACAAAGATCGGTCATATACAGATCAAATCGCCACACTACGGATAGTCGTTGAACAATCGATCGAATGGGACTCGCCACTATAAACCATCGTCCTTGACTATGAGAAAGCGTCTGACAGTGTGGACAGGAGGACCTTATGCAACCTTCCTTGAAA